CCTCTGAGGGTGATGGAGCCCTGGCACAGGCTGCCCAGGGAGGTTGTGGAGTCTCCTTCTCTGGAGATATTCAAGACCTGCCTGGACACGGTGCTGTGCAGCCTGCTCTGGGTGACCCTGCTTTGGCAGGAGGGTTGGACTGGGTGACCCCCAGAGGTCCCTTCCAACCCCGACCATTCTGTGATTCTGTGTAAACCTCCCCTGACGCAACTTGAGGCCATTGCCTCTCATCCTATTGCCTGTTACCTGGGAGAAGAGACCAACACCCACCTTACCTCAACGTCCTTTCTGGTAGTTGTAGAGAGCAATAAGGTCCCCCCTCAGCCTGCTCTTCTCCAGACTAAACCACCCCAGCTCCCTCAGCCGCTCCTCAGAAGACTTGTTCTCCAGACCCCTCACCAGGCTCGCTGCCCTCCTCTGGACACGCTCCAGCAAGAGCTGTGGGCACGGTGGGAAAAACACCTGTAGCGTTCTGGTGGCCTCTTGCTGTTCTGTTTCCTTGCAAGTGCTGGCTGTTCTCCAGCTGGGGAAGAAGGGAGCATGTCTCTTCAGCCCCTGCTTACCGTGGAAGGAGCAGGGCATCTCCTCCCCGGCAGCTCGGTTTCGGTGTCTCTCCTTGGCGTTAATAATTCCGTTGTTTGTCCGTGCCGTTGACCGTCGGCTTTTCAGGCAGCGGCGCTGTGAAGCTGGTAGAGTTCATGACGGCGTCTCCGCTTTCTATAGGCTTCCAGAGAACATTGCGAAACCATTTTGAGCCTTAACTTACTGTGGGTTTTTTTCCCCTCGGTATGAAACTATTGCCAGCAGCAGAGGCACTAGAAATGTGTCCCGGCAGGCTCAGGAAAACATCCTTGTTACACGTTACATTTGATTCATGTCTGAAGATAGTCTTCGCAAACATGAGGGTGAGAAACACAGCTAAAAAAAGTTTAATCGTTGCTTAAACCATCACCTTCTACAGAATTTATGCTGTATTCACCAGGGAAAGCCATCTGTACCCACACTGTCAGGATTTTTTCTTGTGGCTTTTTTCCCCCCCCCCCCCAAGTCCTGGGCATATTGCGCTTATAAAAATAGTATTCTCTGTAAACCAGGCGTTGGGAGCCAAACAGTGTGAACATTCAGAGCTCCTGTTTTATGCTGAGATTTAATTAACGCTGGGATGAGGCACCAGCAGCGCTCACTGAGAGTGTCTTACAGTGTTTTACTTTGAAGGACATTGAATGCACTGACCACGTTTGTATCTCTACTCTTCCCAGAAGCTTACCTGGCTTGGTAAGGGTATAAATAAATTGATTAAACCCTCCGGGGTTTAGTATACAGTTATAGGGAATTTTACTTGCCGTTGAAATTTTTTTGTTATTTGAAATTTTGTTGTTATTTCAGAAGAGCGGGTGCTTTCACAAGCACAGTGGGTGAAAGTATGCAAAGCCCTGAATCCCTGTTTTCTGTGTTTAATTTCCAGCTAACAGTTAACGAAGCAGCCGCTCAGCTGTGCGTAAAAGATAACGCGTTGTTGACCAGGAGAGACGAACTCTTCGCGCTAGCTCGGCAAATCTCTCGAGAAGTTACCTACAAGTATACTTACAGGACCACCAAGTAAGGTTTTAATTAACTCAGAGGGCCTTTACTTTCGGGGAGCTAATCAGTCTGATGGCATTGCTTCTGAAGCACTAGAGACACTTTCTGCTTGCTCTTTAGCTGGCAAAGTGCTCTTCTGAGGAGGGTAGGAGAATGCTGTTGAAGTCGTGAAGCTTTCAAAGTGCGAAGATTTAGCTGTCTTGAATTACCTTTCTATTTGCTCTCTAGCTTTCCAGTTTTTGCAATGATAGTGCATGTTCAGAGGCATCAGAGAGGCTGACGTTTCAACTATTGGAGGCATTTGTGTATTTCAGGGTCAATGTAAATAGGCAGAGTAGCCAAAGCTGCTTAATATATCAATTTTAAATTTTTTTTCCATATACAGATTTGGCTTGTTAGTTTCTGGGGAATGAAAAAGATAAGGTCATCGGGAGTGACTTACAAGCTTGCTCTAAGAGAACTGGAGCAGAGTCCTAATTTCGGTTGTTATGTTCTGTTAAACGAACTGCCCTAATAAAGAAGGAACAAAGGCTTGATAGCCTTTCAATCAATCCAATTAAACCTGCAGAGTTAGTAAATATGATTGAAAGTCTTGATGCTTTCTATATATTGCTTTCAAATGCCAACTCCCTCAGGTGTAGCGTGATGTCCTTTCAAAATACCTGTTCCTACACTCATAGGAGCTTTTTATGGCTTTGCTTTGCTCCCCTTTTTTCCGTACTGATTAATGTAGATACACATCCATTCTGGGCAGGCAGTGCCAAAGGCATTTCTGTAATTCTCCGTCCTCAGGTAGATTTCCTTTCTGTTCGGAAGAAGAGAGCGTGAGTCTGTTGACGCTTTTGAAAACAACACAAGGTGCTTGTATTCCTCTGCACTTGTGACATTTACTGCCAAGCCCAAGTGAATTGGAGGCTTTTTCTGTGCATCTCGCTTGTTCTTGCCTGACTTTTCTTCCCCTCCTCCCCTCCTGACTCTGTTTTTCATTACTGTTTCTGATGGCCGGAGTTGATGTGCTATTTACTGATGGTGTGTGTGCCTTCTCTTCTAGGTCTAAATGTGGAGAAAGGGACGAGCTGTCACCGAAGAGGATCAAGATAGAGGTACAGTATTGAGACTTCCTCCGTTTTGACCTGTGCATGCTAAAATTCTTTTTTGTTGTGAAGGGATCTGTCTTAAGGAAATGTGTCAGAAGAACATTTGACAGACAGTTGATGGGTGTGAGAGAAGGAGAGGGGGGAAGAACGTCACCACTGTCTCTGAAAATGTAAATACTTGTTGGAGAAACCTGTAGGAGCAGGGGTGAAGAGTAGGATTTACTTTATGGTGAAGTTACTCTCGGTGTTTTGCCCTCGGAGTGAGTAGGAGGGGCGAGGAATGGGACGGGCTGACTTCCTGCGGTGGAAAAAGCTGAAGTGCTGTAGGAAATGTCTTCCCATGAGGCCTCCTGCTTGTAAGTCCCTGTGAGGTGGGGTTTGCTTCATTCGCTGGAGTCAGCTTCTGGTTGTGTCCTGAGCTCTGGGTAAGGACTGATGGCAGGCATAGCCATCCCCAACTATGCTGTAAATTAGAAAACTGATCCTATGGAAAAGTCAAAAGCTGACTAAAAGCTGTCTCTGTGCCTGTAGATATTAATTTACAGGTTTTTGTAACCAGTTTTGTGTAAAAAGCACATGCATGCATGGCTAATGTATACATCTGCACAAGGTGTTGCTTAGGGAGATGCGTGTTCTGCCTCGAGTTTCTTGTTGGGAGTGCAGGAGCAGCACATCTGTAGTTTACCTTTTGCTTCAGTTGCCACTGCTGGAAAGGAAATCTGAGGCCTTTTCACTTAAAAAAAAAAAAAAGTTGTAAATAAGTATACTGTATGCCTCATAAGAATAGCAGATCTTCCTTTGTAATTTATTTTTTAAGCATATTTCTGTTTCACTGTTCGGTGGATATCTAATCAGTCCATAGTGTTAGGGGCTTTTTTTACGGTCCTGCCTGCTCCAAAAGCTGTAGGTTAAACGTGTGGTAGAACGTGAGCTAGGCCTGAGCTGGATGTGAGGGATGGTGAGGGGACTGGAGCATCTCCACTACGAGGAGAGGTTGAGGGAACTGGGCTTGTTCAGCCTGAAGAAGAGAAGGCTGCGAGGGGACCTTATAAATGCCTACAAATATCTGAAGGGTGGGTGTCAGGAGGATGGGGCCAAGCTCTTTTCAGTGGTGCCCAGTGACAGGACAAGGGGCAATGGGCACAAACTGAAGCACAGGAAGTTCCGTCTGAACATGAGGAAGAACTTCTTCCCTCTGAGGGTGACGGAGCCCTGGAACAGGCTGCCCAGGGAGGGTGTGGAGTCTCCTTCTCTGGAGATATTCAAGACCCGCCTGGACAAGATCTTGTGCGGCCTGCTGTGGGTGACCCTGCTTCGGCAGGGAGGTTGGACTAGATGACCCACAGAGGTCCCTTCCAACCCCTACTATTCTGTGATTCTGTGATTCTGTGCCTGTGGCACAGATAGGTGAGATATTCTGTAACTGTAGAGGGAAGCTGCAGCGTGTTCTGGAGTGTGTTTCACACGTGTAACTCCATCTGTGGTGGATGCACTGAATGCAAGGCTTTCATGTTTTCAGTAGCATAGTGCCTTGGTACCTGTACAGGGGCTTTTCCCGTGCAGCAAACCCTGGTGTGAGAGCAGTCAGTTCTGAAAACGCAATTATGAATAGGTATAGAGGATTTAATCTTATATATGAAGTTCCATCAAGGCTGTGTAGAGGTGTAGTTTGAGTTTACATGACACAAAATGTACATGTGCGTGGAGGGTTTGCTGGTAGCTTCGGTGGCAAGTCAGTAATGTCGTTCACATGCGTTGGGATTCGCGTCGACCTACGCTTGTTCTTCGACCCCCAAAAAAGAGCGGGGAAAAGCTGCCTGAAATGATTCTAATCTGCCTTGACCAGCACATTGCAGGGTGGTTCCTTGAGCCTCCCCTGTTTTCTCCAGTCTAGTCCTAATTTAGAAGAGCTGGTGGGGAGCTGCCGCTCCTCTGCTTGCAGTAGTATTTCACTGACTATTAGATGTCAGCATTAGGAAGTTTTTCCTTCGTTCAGTAATAATTGGTGATGAGCAAGTCTCTAAAATGACACACTGCAAGGGAGGTTCTGTTTTCCGCACAGGATCTTCGTTGAAGGAAAAAGTAAAATTAAAATCCTGAAAAATAACAGGCTGAAACTTCAGATTTGCTGGGGAGCAGGAAGTTTGGACAGCCTTAGGGGATGTGCAGTCTCTTCTGCATGGTGAAATCGTGAAGAGCCTGGAAGGCCTGTGTTCTCTAGAGACTTTTTAGTTCAGTAATTCTGAGAAAGAATGTTTACTTGGTTTTCTGTTTGTCTGGAATTACCAGTCGTATCTTAAAATGCTCGCGAAAATTTAATGTCCCAACAGTACAAATGACTATTTCAGAAGTAGGACTTTTTTCCAAAATAAGAAATCGAAAATGAAACTAAATGAAATAATCTTTCATCTGATAGCACAGCATTATTAATTATGAAATGACCAGTGTTGCTATCAGCATCAATGTCTTCTTCCTTACGAGTTCAGGAGTCTTTTAAGGCGCAAACCATTACTTCAGTGCATTATAATTCTGAGGTACTCAATAAATCATGGACTTGTCTTCAAAGAAATTTAAAAAAGATGCAGTATTGCGCAGTAGATCACTTTTACGTGTCGTGTTTTGGGTTCTTGGGGCTTGCATTTTGTGAAAAAAGTCCTTTTTTTAGTAGTATGCTTGGGGATTTTGTGGGGTTCTTTGTTTTTAGAAAGGTGGAGGCAAAAATGAAAATGATAGCAAATGCTGCAGATTTTTCCTTCTGTTCTGGATAAATATTCCTTATCCTGTTTTTAAAGTTGGAATGCTTCATTGTCACTCTGTTAGCTCACTGTCATGCTAATGTCACGCAGAGGGTCTGAACATGGGTGATTTTTTTGTTGTTGCTGTAACTAGCTCTGTCTCTTTCTTTTTTCTTCCTTTTTTTTTTTTTGGTAAAGGTCATTTTGCCTGTGTGTTTTAAGGCTCAACTCTGTATTTTGATTCACCATTCCTTTAGCCGGTAGTCGTTAACGTCTCTGCAAAGCGTGGTCTGTAACGCTAGTGCTTGAATTTGGAAAGGCTTCACACTCTATTTGCATAGTGTAAAAGATTACTGGGGGGGGGAGAAGATGAGTTAATTTCCTGAAATATAATAACACTTAAAAAAATCTCCAGAGAGCGTCTGAAGGTCATCCTTCAGCAGAGCTGCGTGTGCAAGCTGCGACATCGCCGTGTTCCAGCCACCGCTGTAAATTCATCCTCCCCCTGAATATGAAACTGGCACGAGCTTTACAAAGAAACAATCTGCCGTGAATTACAGCAAATTACCTGTGAAAGCCTTGCTCTCCTGCGCCCTCGGCCCCCTCTCCCTCGTCGAGTGGGTGGGCGAGCCGTGGGAGCGAAGTGTGGAGAGGAGAAGGGGGAAAAAAATCCCCAGCGAATGACAGACCGGAGGTGTGGAGGGAGTGAAAAAGGGAACGGGGGGAGCTGGGGTTTGGAAGCGGGTCGTTAAAAAAGGGGGTTGCGGTTCCTAAATCCGCTCTGGACAAAGAGCGGGGCAGCGAGGAGGGATGGAAACGTCTGCTCCTGCTGCAGAGCAGGGATGTCTCCGGCGTGGGGGCCTTGGGGTCCAGGCTCGGCACGGGCAAAGAAAAGGAGTTTTAAAAATATTCTCGCTGTGCGACGGGAGCGGAGGCTGCCGTCGTGGGTGGGGGGAGAGGGGAGGAGAGGCCCACCTCCGCCATCGCCCAGAAGGCTGCAAAGCAAGCCGGGCCACGTGTGGGATTGGTGTTTTTTTCACAGAGACAGCGAAAAGCAGTAGAAGCTACTGTTTGCATAGGGAAAATGTCATTAGAGGGAGCGAAAAAGCACATGTGGGACTGAGAACATCTGCTGCACGAAGCCGCCTGACAAACAAGCGAGGAGCAGCGGCAGCGCGGCAAAGCGGACGTGCAGAGGGACAAAGCAGGCTCCCCGGCCGACAGGGACGGGCTCCGGGAAGGCGACACGGGCCGGAGG